TTTGCCTCAGAATAGACTCAATTACTTTCTTAATAGAAGAATGGCCATATATCTATAGTAGCTACTGAGATTATTCTGGAAAACCACAATACTGATTCTAAAATTAATGCTGATTCTAAAAACATTACTCAGTTATTGCTTAAGTGTTTAGATTTTTACACTTTATAAGCATGTTCTCATTCAGTTCTCACAATAACCATCTACTGAAATTAATACACCTCCTGGTATGCTTCCTCTGTTTAATGCATGGAGTTATCCCTTCCTCTTTATCATTAAGTTGGATATGGTGGTGCAGGTTTGTAGCCTCTCAACTACTCAGGAGGCTTAGGCAGAAGGACTACTTGAGTCCAGGAGTTTGAGACCAGCCTGGATAACATAGTGAGACCCGCTATTCAAAACAAAATGAAACAAAAACTCTTTTTCTCATTAAAATAATTTATTTTCTTTGAGAAATTATGACATTATTTATCAATTTTTGTCTCTTTCATTTCAAATGAAGGTCTATGAGGACAGGAGTTTATTGTTACCTTAGTGTCAAAAGAAAACTAGGTATATAGGGTCTGGGGTTGTGGCTCAGTGGCAGAGCACTTGCCTCTCATGCATGAAGCACTGGGTTCAATCCTTAGCACCACATAAAAATAAATAAATCAAATAAAAATGCACTGTCAATCTATAACTAAAAATATATTTTTTAAAAAGAAACAAAACTAGATATATACTTATTCAGTAAAGATCAAATGGATAAATAAAAAAGTAAGAAAAAATCAACTTGATAAGAATCTTTTTCATAAATAAAGAGAATAAGATACACCAGGAGTAGGAACACAAGCTTTGTTGTTGTTTATTTTGTTTTTTTGGGTGATAGGAAAAAACTGGCTCATCTTATCATCTTTCAAAAGTGATAGCTACTACATGCTGTCACCAGCTCAGAATCATGCAATGGCTCTTCATTTTCATCCAGGGTAACAGCCTGAAAGACCCTACATAGTCTGTGCTGGAGCATTCATTACCTCTCCACCCCTTTCTCCTACATTCCTCCCACACCCTTTGCTTATTCCACTTAGTACCACACAGGCCTTTATGTAACCACCCAGAAGATCAATCACCAACCATTCCTTCCCCCAGAGGATATTCCCAGCTTTCTTCCTAACCCCACCTTCTTCTTCAAATCCTTTTTCAGATATCATGCCAGAATTAAAGATAGGTAGTTAGTAGCTAGGTAAATCAGGTCTAATATCTAGTCTAATAAAGAAAATGGAGTCTGACCAATGGTACAGAATAGAGGACACAGAGACCAATCCATAAAATTAAAACTATCTTATATTTGATAAAGGGGCTAAAAGCATGCAATGGAGAAAGGATAGCATCTTCAACAAATGGTGCTGGGAAAACTGGAAATCCATATGCAACAAAATGAAACTGAATCCCTTTCTCTC